TTCGTCTTCAAATTTTAATTTCGTATCCCGAAACCTAAAATAATTTCGTCGGCATGTATAGATGAAACCACTAATTTATATACTGCAACATTTTTTTTCTATGTCCTTTTGGGTCTTGCTTATCAGTTTTGTAAATATCTTGGTATAAAATTGTCTCAAGCCAAACTATACTCTTTTTGTAACAAGTTAGTATATTATAAAACCCAGTATTAGTCATTTTTTGTATTCCTATAAATAATTTATATGCTTTAGAATCAGTTGATGAAAAGGCATTAAGCAGTTTGTTTGACAGCTTCTGTAAACTTTCATTTAGTGGTTGCATAGTCTGATTGTTCTTAGTTGCAATAATAGTTTTACCCAGAAATTCTAAAATTACCAACCTTAATCTTTCTATTTCAGCTTGCATTGATACTATCTGCAATTTTAATTTTTCAGGATCTATAGTTTTTCCTCTGATATTCTGTTTTATAAACAAGACTCAACCCATTTAAGTGCTTCATCAAATATGAGAAAGTGCTTCAGGCGTGTAATATTTATAGAATATACAAGACAAAACAATTCATAGTTACCACAGCAAATACTGATTTTGTGTCCAATCTAATACCCGGCCTAACAAAAAAAATGATACCAGGTTCTTAAAACATAATTTTCTTTACTTTCAATATCATTTATAGTTTGATTAGTATTATTTAAATATTTAAAAATTGTGATTCTCATGGCGACTCAAATTAATTCTAAAACTTGATATGTGGCTTGGTAATCTACAACCTTTTCTAATTTATCAAAAAAGTGGACACCAAGCTTTGCTACCATATTAGCTATGCTATATTCTAAAAAAATATAATAAGTGCACTATACATGCAACAGGAAGTATACCATTGACCCAAGAAGGGTCTTATTGTTTTGTCTTTGTTTTTTTCCTTATATAAAATCAATCAGTTATAGATGGCCTAATCACATACGATATCTAGGCATCCAGTATTTGCTATTCTAATATTATTATAATACAAATTGCATGCCTTATAAATATTTTTGTCACAATTTGGGTTGTTGTCTAGCTTAAAAATTATGATATTAGATGGTTTTACTTTACATCTAATTGGTACTTCCTGTGAGATTGCTTGTAAAATATTATTCACACCCAATTGTTATTATTGGTATTCAGAAATTTCTAAAAAATTGTCTCATATAAAAAAAGAAGATTATCAGAAAATCAAAAGTACCAAATAAAGACTGATTTAAAAAATCATGATTGTTATTTTGATTGTAATGTTTAACTGGTTCT